CCCCAAAACCCCAAAACCCCAAAACCCCAAAACCCCATGAAGTAAGAATATAAATAATTTTTAGTCAATATTTATTGATATTAAAATGAGTGAATTTGACAAGGAAATTTATACTTTAAATCGGAGAGTGCAGTCACTTAAAGAGATCCTAAATGATTACAGCAACTAAGCATAGACTAGTCATAAGATACAATATGTAACATCATTTCCTTTTATCTGAATAGAGAATAGATAATTTGAAGAATGAGGTAGATTAGATACTGTCATCTTAGAGGAAGATTTCTAAGCAGTAATAAAGTCAGCTTGCCGATCATTAAGAATTGCTGATTTCAATGAAAAAGCGTATACTTGAGATTCAAGAGTCTGAAAGACTCAGTGATAAAAGCAGAATATAATCAGAGGATCATAATTTAGTAGATTAATCTAGATATATTGCTCATTTACTTCAATAAAATGGTATTATTACTGATAATACTGCTATTTCCTCTTCTTAGTATTTGGAGGAAAGGAAATTAGAAATCATTCCTCAAGCCCAATCAATGCATGAGTTTGATGATAGCGAGTTGACATATGATGAATACTTGAGACAATTTCTGTCTAATCATGAATCAGAAGAAAAATAGATTGCATAAGGTGATGTTTAATAACCATAAAAGGGTAAAAAGAGAGAGAAAATCAAGAATCTAATGAAAGGCATGGCTTCCTTTATCACTTAAAACACTCTTAAGCCACTTTCAAGTGTGATACAGACTGTCTAAAATAATAATCTATTTGAAGACAGCTTTGAAGATAACAGAGATGGAGATTATACATATGATAATTAAAATAGGAGTGAATAAATCGATGATAGTTAAAAGCGAAACGAAGAGTATGGATTTGAAGATGAAACCAAGGCTGAATTAGATGAGATGATCAGAAAAACATGTCAGAAAATCGAGGAAGCTCAAAAATAAGAGAGAAATAAGACTTCTTCTATGAATAAAAGTGAAGTAATGCGCAAATACTACTATGATTTAAGAAATTGTAAAGATAAAAATTGATAATTTCTAATTTAGAGATCGTCTCTGAGAAGGAACAAGAGAAGAAAAAGAATACAAACAATTATGGAAAGCAAATGGAAATGGAGTAGGAGGATTATGTTCAGGAGAAGCAAGAGATTGAAAATGATATGCTGCGAATGGCCCAAGGAATGAAGTAATTCGCTAACTCCTTTAAGTCTCAGTTCTAAAAGGATGAAGTCGTCTTAAAGAAAATAGCTGATAGCCAGGAGTAGAATCTAGATAAGACGGAAAAGGAGAGAGATGAGATTGCTAAATTGCAGGCAAAAGTTTTCAGCAGTTTCTGGCAAAGGATTTTGATGCTGATAATAGCAACATTGACATTTATGGGAACTGGCTTCTTCATTTGGCTATTCCCTAATAAGATTAAATATGAAGTAGCTGGAGCTATATGATACTTTTAGAATAAAAAAAGGGATGGATGGACAGGCAGCGAATGGATTAATTTATGGAGAAATGATAAAAATAACATTAACATTAACTACTTGTAAATCATGTTTTTGATTAATTTTTTTATTATTACTCTTTATGCCAATTAAAAGTACTGTTTAAAATTATAAATAAAACTATCTAATTAGATTAATTCACTCATTAGAATAGCTAATTGAAAAAACGGCCCACTAGTCTGAAAACCTTATGCTCAGGATTAGCAAATGTGAAGGGAATTAGACTTAATATTACAGTAAGTCTTTTTCTCATGTTTTCAGATTCCCCCAAAATCTCTGCTCATTAACTCATGATGACTTTCAATGATCCTCGAAATACAATTTCGTTACCAAAGTAATATAAATCATTATTATTCCTGTGATATACATGAGATTTAGTTTTAAGGGGTTTTGGGGTTTTGGGGTTTTGGGGTTTTGGGG